AAATTTTACTCAATTAACGAGTACATGTTTTGACTCAAATTGTTTGAGCGATTTTTTTGCTCAATTATTGAGTATGTTTTCTGGGTAACGCTTAGTTGCTCAATCAATATTGAGTAAAAACATGTACTAAGTTAAGTACATGTTTTTACTCCATTAGGGGGTGCAAACCGATGCAATAGCAGCACCTTTAGGGGTTCAATCCTGCACACTTTAAAAGGTGCAATCCTGCACCCATCATCGAGGAATACTGATAAAATTTGCTTGTACACAAATACATATTAAACATGCATGATGCTTCTTGGTTAGTAATCATATAATCAATATATCTATTGCTAAAACGTGAATGTAATTGTAACATGATCAGACAAAATAATATATTGGTTAATGATTGCCAAAGGAAAATACAAAATCAAAAAATTGATGTGCATTGTCATAATTTGCTTAACAAATCATGATAAATGTATTTTTATGTGAACACGTGGAAAGTAATCATGAATATGCATGCAATATGCAAACTTTTATTTTGCACCCTCTTTTGGTCGATAGGGTTCATTTTTGTGGGAAGGGTGCAAAATCTTATATTGCACCCTTTTTTTAACCCCTTTTTCTTCAATAGGGTTCATTTTTATGTAAAGGGTGCAAACTCTTATTTTGCACCCTTTTTTGCACCCTTTTTTCTAAGAGTGTATCTCAGTTCTTTCGCATCTTTCTGCACGCGCACCTGCATGCACGAGACATGCACATGACGGACAATGAAAGAGTACAAAATATCCAGTTCCTTAGGTAGACAAAGGAACATACAGCTGCTATTATGTAAAAATGTGTAGAACAGGTGTCACATGCATATTGACAGCTAGTTGCACTTTCCATCGATCCAACTTTCACTCGCACCCGAGGTAAATTCGGGTAAGAGATCAATGTTGATTTATTTATCACCTGCCGCAGCGTAATACCCAACCGTAGTTTACTCAAAATTGATACAAACGAAATTCGTACTCAATGTTGAGTCATTGATTTACTCTTTATCGAAGGTAACAAATTACTCGGGTGACGAGTACCACTAAAATCAAGGTCTTACTCCAGCTTGAGTACTGAATTGCTCATTTTGTTACTCAACTTGTTTTACTCGGCACAATTTACTCGCTGACATTAAGAGTGTGGACACACACATTGCACTCATTAGGTACTTTAAAAGATCACGTCGATTCCAAGTAAGCTGCCAGTAGGGCAACCCCATGATTGTGGTGTAGATCCTTAGTCGAAAGAAAATAGAAAGGACCGGAAAGGATCTATGAAGTGATTATTGTATATGTTTTCTGTACACATCAACGTTTTAGAATTTATAAGTAAAACACAAGATATCATTGCAGCACACGTCATTAATCCTTCAGCCCATTAATGTCAGTATTAAATTCAAAAATCGAAAAGAAAGCTCGTTAAAATGTGTTTGATATTGAATGTATTTTGGCTGCCGGCTTTTTGTGTATTTCGAGATAAAATTGAGATATTACAAAGAGCGCCCCATCCCTGCGTTTAAGATACATAAAGGAACCCCCCCCCCCGAGAAACCTTTGTAACGTACCACGAGCGGGTTTGTTAGGATAGCGCAAAAAACAAGGATAAAAAAAGAAAGAAGAAAAGGACAGAGATTGGTAAGCTAACATGATATTAATATCTTCCCTTTTTTGTGTGTGTGTTTGGGGGGGGGGGGGGTTTAAGAAGAAGAAAATATATACATAATATATGCAAGCATATTATGAGTGTATAAACGTAAATTTGATTTAAAAATAAATGTTCTCATAGTATTCGGCAATAATGATCATAAACTGACTGACTTTCCTAAATTAAACAACATGAAACAACAACAACAATAACCTAGGCAGTCTCACGGAACGACGAAAATCTACACCAAATGAAATATTTAAGGTATCCATCATCCTATGCTGGATATGCCGCTTGTACGTGAGCTGATTTGTACTAAGAACTAAGATGACAGCGTAATACAAAAACAGTGTAATACTACAAAAGTGTATTTATATATATATATATATATATATATATATAATATCATGCAAATCGATTCCACACACAAATACATTTCTCAAAGTGGTAGCATAACATAAACGTATGAAACGAGTTTTTCTTGTTCATATAGTCGCATGGCAATTTGGAGATCCTTTGCCGACCTCTAAATGTATGGATTTATTATTCGAACCTCAACGTTGCCTCTTTGATTTCCTTTAAAAAAGCAATATGATTAACGTATTAACTATTGACCACCAATAACGCTTTTTAATTCGTTCTTTTATTCCAGAACAATCGTCGATAAAGGCTAATGAGATTTTAGCACCATGTTGGTGAGCTCATCCGCGTGGTTAACAACCTTTCTAGTCCTGAGGTAATTATTAAAAAATAAAAATTAAAGACAAAGAAAGACAAAAAAGAAGGTACAATAATTCTAACAAAGCCTTTAACTAATGCTGATTAAGGACATTCTTATTTTGATGAGGTAATACAGAAATAGTGTGGTAAAATTTGCTCATCAACATCCCGAAGCACCGCCTCCGAGACTGACGCCAGACCAACTGCAGACGGAACAAATAATTAAATTTCCCAAATGGACAAAATTAGTCGGTTTGGAGTCATGTTGGCAGGGGGCGAGGGGCGGAGGTATTAACAAGATGTTATTTTTCGTGTGTAGGCCAGTGCTTCATTCTGATGAAGGTGGTGCAGTTTCACTAATAATAAATATACGACAAAATATGCATCAAATGTCACGATTAGCTTACCAGCTTTATGAATGTCAGGTAATTATGATTTCAAATCCAATAACCCTTATCATGCATATACGTGCACCAATATCCAGAAAATGTGGGTACACAGGGTTACAGGTGTAGATGGATAAATGAATGAAGGAAAAGAGATACAATAGAGAGAGAGAGAGAGAGAGAGAGAGAGAAAGGAATCCTTCCAAAATTGATTTGTTTTCTCTTTGAATTTGTGTTTTTGCCCTTGATCAATATCATTTTACAAATCTAATGCGATTGTTATTTACTGGAGACAATGGATTGATCAGTTCAAATGATATTTTTAATGCGGTATAATTTCCCTTGTCAGAGAAAACAGGAACCGATCTTCCTAGTACTTCATCACTTCCTGTAAAACAGTAGGCTCCAATGGTTGTGTATGGGTACATGTATTTATTGTATTCTTAATAACAACTTTGGCCTGAGTGTTCGTGCTAGAAAAAGATCATATATAAGATCAAGTAGCCCAACTCTAACTGAAAACGAAACTTTAATCTAAATATCATTTACACAAGACATTAATTTAAATGCATTTATCTACCTTTTCTCACTTGATAGCAGAAGACAAAATTCAAACTTTTTGTATGAAGCGTTTTGTTCAGTTACTGGAAAATTATAAAACAAATCAGTTATAATTGTCATCATGCCCCAGTAGTTTTTGTCCCAAATTACGTCAATGTTGAATATGAACAATTTCTCTTCTCCTTGTCCAACATGATGTCCAAGGCACACGAGGCGTTAATCTACTACCGCCAATTGATTGTTTCAATCAATAGTATTTATGCCTCAGTAAGTAGTTAACAAAAGGAGCCTAAAGATAATGACGGTTGCGCCTGGGAATGTCACACAAATTTACATTTTCTTTGAACGCATTTTTGTATGTAAATTGTTATGATGATAATAATAACAATAATGATTATAAACATAATAATATTCTGGGTTGATATAACGCTTAATATATCGACGTCCTCTCTATGCGTTGTTACATAGTACATGTATATTATTACATCGGTCATTAGATTCAGGCGAGCCAATGCACAATGTATTTCCGCCAGTTTTCCGTCAAAAGTCTTTATTCAGATAAACCCGAAACTTTGCAAATCTCTATCGCGCCCTGCTTCACGGGGTTGCGTCTGTGGCTAGAGATTGCACCTGGACCTGCATGATCTGTGCATATACATATATACAGGCGCGTACGCAGGGGGGGGGGTGTTTGGGGGGTTAAACCCCCCCTTTGGTATTTTTATGTGTGTAAACCCCCCTAAAAAAATCACTAAAACCCCCCTCCCCCCCCCTTTGGATTTTTTTTTTTTTTTTTTTTTTAATTATTAAAAAAAAAAAAATTACCCCTATGGCTGACCTAAGGAAGGTGACCTTACCCCCCCCCCCCCCAACGGAGCAAAATGTCAAATTTTTAAATTTCGAGACCAAAAAAAAAAAAAAAAAGTGTCCTCTTACCCCCCTCCCCCCCCCCCCCCCCCCCCACCCCCACTGAGCGACTTTTCGGCTGGCTGAGTCGTTGCGATTTTTTTTGGACTCCCAAAAAAAAAAAAAAAAGTGTCCGCTTACCCCCCCCCCCCCCCCCCCCCCCCCCCCCCCCACCCCACTGAGCGACTTTTTGGCCGGCGCGATTTTCAAATTTTCCTGAGTCGTTGCGAAATTTTGGACCCGATTTTAAAACCCCCCCCCCCCTTGAAAAAATCCTGCGTACGCCACTGCATATATATATATATATATGCCTGGTTGTCCTGGAGTGGAGTAAGTGAAATAACGCCTCGTGTGCACAGGGCCAAACACCATCTCTCCTTTACCCTGATCGCATATTCTTCTTTTGATTATCCAGCACATTTTTTACCCTCGGGTGCAGCCAGAGATGTGGGGGTTCAATAGAGGCCGGAGCTGGTGTGATACGTTCCACTAACTATCCTGACGGGTATCCAGCATCGGACTGTGTTTGGATAATTGACTCTGGCGCCGAGAACAGGATTAGACTCAAGTTCCAGGTCCGCGACTGCAGGTATGACCATCTTCATACCAGTCACACCACTACTCCGATCCAGACCAACTTCAAAAAATGACAAATTTCGGCCATTAGGGGTAATATATATGATGTTCGGTCTCTTGTTGGTCTCGCTGGTGCGACCGAGTTTTTTGTGTTTGCCTTAAAATGTATATGCTAACGGGTACAGGGGTTAAATGCAAAAATCTATCTGGTTTAAGGTTTCAAATACTTGCCAAGTTCTTTTATCTTTTCAAACAATACTGTTTTTGTCTCGACCAGGGCATTTCTTTAAGTGGAAATTCTTAAAAGTGAAAAGGTTCAGGGTTGGAATCCTTGCCACAACACTAACTTCTTTTAGCAAGATGTCAATCTACACATTGCTACACTCTATCCAGGTGAGGTTAATGGGTCCCTGGTAGGATTTTTCCTTGAAATGCCCTGTGCACTAATAACGGCTGCCTGAGCAAAAGCTAGAATAATAATTTTCAAAGCTTTTTGAAAGCGTATAAGAATTTTATATCATAATGTACATGTATTAAGTATGTAATATTGCAAACATTTGCCGTTTACTAAAAACGTTCGGCTTCAGCCCAACTCTGAATCAAGTTTGGAAATAGCGTTAATGTCGTTAGTGTTTATTTCTGTATGCCATTATTAATATTAGTGGAGATTCCCTTTGGATCTATGATGGAAACGGGACTGTTGGAGTACCACTATTGGGCCAATACTGTTCGACAGTTCCACCCACATCTATTGACTCTAGTGGACGGTTCGTGACAATCAAGTTTATGTCCGTGGGAGGAGCGGAAAACAACCAAGGCTTCGTCATATCCTATGAATCGAGTAAGCTTTTGGTGTGATGTATTTCGCATATTTTTTTTTAGGCACTACTTAGCCGCATTCTCGTTATCTTTGTCTAACTTAAGGTTGTTCATGGTAAGAGATTTGGTTTTAAAAGGGTGTTTTCCTGGTGCCCGTTTCCATTTTGTCTATGACCACATTGGTAATCTATTTTCTTCACAATCAGCTTATATGTTTTCTCCTTTAAATACATTGCTCTCCTCTGGATATTAATGATTTCATATGCTGATCCTCATTTGTAAATTGCAAGTTCAGATACAGCTTATCTTTAACATATCTACATTATTTTGAGTGAATCCGTCGTAAAATGATTTCTTTAAAAACAAATTACTAATGATTTTCAAGCATTCTTACTGCATTTTAGATTTGGTCTCCCTTTATCTTTCCTTGAAAATATTTTTTCCATTTTTTTCCTTGGGTTACCCCTTCTTACTTCTAGTCGACTTAGCGCTTGGTTCTCGAGTCATTTGGAGCGAGATTGAAGCGTCCACGGGTTTGGTTCGATTGAACAGTGTACCGGCAGACCCCACCGTGATGTTGAAACCAGATGGGACAGTCCAGGACGCCATCGTGACCAATTTCTACTTCATGGCCCCAAGTGGTAACTGGACTGCTCTAGAAACCCGGTATGGTGAGCACGAACTGATTTGGAGTGATGGTCTTCGAAAGGTCATGATCAAGGGTACGTCATTAAAATATTTATTGTTTCTTTTAATTCGATTGCATGTGAGACGTCCCTTGCTTGTGGGTGACTCAATCTTTTACAAGCCGTATGAGAGTGACATCGTAGAAAAAGAAGGAAACGGAAAATGATCAGCTAAAACAACGTGTTGAATTACCGGCGTATTGACGCATTTATGACGCAATCGAAATCACTGGTATAATCTGAATTCATGTGTTCGATTGGTTTTTATGTCGTTGTGCCTGCGTATGAGCATGAATCTGCAAGAATGTATCTCAATCATGTTTGTATTCTTCTGTTGCGTTATTAAAGTTCCGTCACCTCTACAACTTGCAAATGATTAAAACCAGTGCATGTTTCGGATTGTTTCAGATATGGTATTTAACTTATACATTTTTTCTTCTTCAGGGTCAATGGGAAGTAACCGATCGGCGAAAATCTACTACGGTTATACATCATCAAGCGTTCTGGGAGTCGCAGTTGATTGGCTGACGGGCAACGTGTATTGGACAGATGCAGCGTATGATTGGATAATAATGCATGACGCTAACGGGACGCGTAACGTCCTGATTATTGATGAGGACCTGGATATTCCTACAGGCTTAGCCATTCATCCATCCAGGGGGTAAGATAATTTTGTATTCGATAATTTTGTATTCAGTTTCTTTTCGAAAGCAGATCTGGGAATCCAGTCGAGAGGAAACAGGAAATGTTTGGAAATTCCGGAAGTTCATGATCCGGTGGATGCGTGGGGTAGATAGAAGTTATTTTTTTTCTAAAGAGGATTGGGGGTGCTGGTGGTGGTAAGTAGTAGCAGGAGGGGGGGGGGGGGGGGTGTTCCTATTTTTCATCTCACCTCGCGTCAATACAGATATATTCAGAGGATGGTATCAAGTAACTAAACTTGATGTTAAGCATAATATTTGGTTCACTTGTTCAAGTATTAATGCTCCTTCCAAATCCAAAACATGCAGGTTCAAAACCCTGCGGAGCACCTTTTTAAATTTTTTTTTTTACAGCAAACCAATGGCGATGGTCTAAGCTACTGATGATTGTTCCCTCATTTATTGAATAATAGTTACTAGGCAACGGAGGCTTTCACGAAGATTACATTACAAAAGTAAACCAACTACAATTCAAGTTTTCAAGCAAATTTTTTTCCCCATCAGATACCTATTCTGGACTGACTCAGGATCCAGGCCAAAGGTAGAGAGGAGTAATCTTGCAGGAGGAGGTCGTCTTCAACTGGTTTCCACAAACATCCTTCGTCCCTCTGGAATAACAGTTGATTATGAAACTGACTTGTAAGTACATGTATAACAAACTGAAGTACACGAATAACTAACTAGTCAAACAGATGTAAATCTACATGGATAGAGGGCTGGAGCGCATTGGGAGCTCAAGCCCGTCAACAAATTGCTCAAGTCTCCCGTGACTGATTGAGTTGTTTCATTTTGATAAGTAGAATAAACATCTTTGTGACAAAATACCATACATGATTAACTCAACGGCAGTGATGATAACATACAAACTGGAAAATAAATTACCGTGAAAAGAAAAAGTCAATAAAGTTTTCTACCTAATGCTACGTTTACACTATGTTCCCGGCGGCTGCCGCATTCCGTTTGCTCCAAACGTAGTGCGCCGTATTCAAGTCTTGTTAGGTATTACCAACAGCCTTTTCACACACAGCTAAAATTCATCGTATCTAGAGATGATTAGAATCACTCAACAGTTTTAAACATGTTTATAGACAAAATTTCTTAGTGTGAACATCGTTTATACGATGTTGGGATAGATACGAAGTCGCGATCCATACGCCCCTAAAAGCAGGCTGCAGATACGAAGTTCGTATCTAGAGAGCCTGACATTTTCTGTGTGAAAGGAAATTCGTGTTTAAACGTGTTTAAACTGGATGGAGCGTGCGCTTTGATTGATATGACATGACCTTCAATGCGCAATGGCACTACTGCGCATTTTACGAGCAGTAGTTAATCACGAAACTATTAACGATCGCAACGAAATTTCTGTGTGTGAAAGGCTCGTGATTAGTTTAAACACGTTCGAAACACGTTTATACTAATCATGTTTATAGAATTTTAGCTGTGTGTGAAAAGGCTGTCAGTTTTCTCACGGTCTACCACGGTTTCCTTCCCACTACGGATCACCTCCAAGTTTTGTTACGGTTTATTACGTATTGTCACGTTTTGTTGCGTTCACCCTGTTTTACTACGGCCTAGTAGGTATCTCATCCGCACCATGACTGCCGTGTCAATAATCCGGCCCAGCATCCACGGCATTCACGGCCTGTCACGTTTGCCTATTCCGTTCCCCGCGTTTTCTCACGTCCATCCCGATTTTCCAAGGTGGCCTGAACGTGATTGCCGTGGCAACCGGGAATATAGTGTAAACGTGGTTTCTGGCCCGGCATCTACGGCATTCACGGCCTGTCACGTTTGTCCATTCCGTCCCCCCGCGTTGTCTCCCTGCCATCACGTTGTATCCACGCGGTGCCCTGAAACGTGATTGCCATGGCCGCCGGGAGCACGTAGCATAACTTCACTATTCCAATTATACATGTACTATACCGCACTTCTTAGACTTTTAACTTCCAATTACGAGTAAGGTCAGGCAATTCTACCCTCAAATCGTAATATCTACGCATTTTTTGGAGTTATTATCATAAACTGATAGCCTCTAGTGTAGGGCTACTTGATACTATGACCAGATATACCAACATTTTAGATACGCTGATTGGTAGTAATGGGACAATTGGACTTTTTGATGATCTTTAGAGTGTATTGGGTGGATTCCGATCCATCCTACAACCACATGGAAGTCTGCAATCTTGAAGGGGCAAATCGCAGGACTCTGATGCACTCTCCAACCAATCTAGGCCTTTTCGACTTGACCATCTCCGGGGTAAGTGCGAGTATAAATTAGCATTAATCATCGACGAGATGCTAAACAAATTATTACATCTTTCGTTTGAATACCCAAATTGCCAAACAATATTTATCAAATACAAATACAGTCCTACGAATACCAATTTAGATGTAACCTCATAAGTTCCGTCACAACCAGATTGGACATGTGAAGATTTCCTGAAGTCACCTTTTATGAATGAATGGCACATCAGTCTACTCTAGTTTGTTGAGCAGAAACATTTGAAAATCATAAAACTAGTCTCTTCTTGAACCGGCTCAATCCGTTTGGAAACATGGTAGTGAATTATTATATGCGTCATTTGATTTTGAGGGTTAAATTTTAGATCTAATTTATTCTTATTCAACCAATGTGTTAATGTTGCGGATTGTTTTGACATAACGAAATCAACTAAATAGCAAATAAAGATGGGCTTTTGCGGACAACTTGACAAGTAGAAGGTTTTTAGGGATTTATATATTTCACGTTTTTGACTAAATTAACATCCAATGTGTCAATGTACTTCGATGTGTTGTGGTATAATGGTTCATCACCTGACTCTCATTCAAAGGATTGAGGGTTCGAATCCTAGTCCGGCACTAAGGTCTTTTGGCAAACGATAATCCACATTAAATTTTGCCATTTACCATCCTGGTATAAATGGGTGCCTGGCAATTGCTGAGTTAATAATAATTGAAGGACCAGAAGGAACAGCAGTATCAATACTGATGTGGCCACCTCGAGTAAATATTTGGCATGCTCAAAGCTCTATCAGGGCTTTATCACCGCTCAGATATTAGAAGTAGTCGTTAACCCATGGAAACAAAAATAGATTGGATAATTTGCCCTTGTAGATCGGCGTGTCTTGGTCAGTGTTGATATCGAGGCATTTGTTTCTCCTCTTTAAAGAACTACATCTACACAACGGCAAAAGAGGCCCAGAAACTGATAGTGCTAGTGAAAGACAGTGGTCAAGAACTATTCAATCTTGGCCTCCAATATACTCCATACAGCATCGTGACCTATGCACCGGATGTACAACCTCAGGAATATTGTAAGTCTTTAAAAAATAATTTATTGAAGGAACATTAGATCCTGGCGCCATCTTATCAAGACATGTCACGTGTCGTCAGAATCAATCGCAACCTAACGTAAAGATCAATTTCAATCGTCAGTCTGACCGTAAGAGAGAGATAAATTATATGTTTTTACGATCGACTTGAGGACTTTTAGGGCAAGTTCACTCCAATTCCAAAAATCATTTACTTTCAGTATATAAAGAATAATCAGACAAACCAATCAAAACAAGTTTGAGCAAAATCAGATAACTAATAAGAAAGTTATAATAATATTCCGTCTTTATATAGCGTTGTATATATATACATCGATCTAACGATGTGTATAAGCGCTCTACAAATATATTATTACCCCGGGCATCGGATTCAGGCTTACCTGAATTTTTGAAAAAAATATGTAAAACTATGGAACAATGGAAATCACTACACAAATTGCCATTTTAATTATCAGTTTGTGACAACATGTCCTCAATATTTATCAATTGCTTTATCCCATTAATTTCCCCTTTTATCCCCAAAACCTTGATTTCCCCTTGTCTTTGCCCAGATCATATCATTTGTATCATATTGCGTGCGTGACATATCTCAAAATCTTTATGAAACTTGAAGAATCGACACTATTTTCTGAATTATAATCGTAATTATTGATTTTATATAAATATTTTATTAACATTTACATTTTCCATGATTTAACTGAAACAAATTACTGTATATTAGTGCATCCACACTTAAAGATAAACTTTAGTACTGGTAATGCGATTGCATTGTGAAAGAAAAGGTGTGGAAAGGATCAGAAACAGTTGATCATGTAGCATGTAAGTATTGGTGTGCACTGCAAGGTTCTGGAGTCATCAAAATCATAATAAATTTGACCGAGTCTTGGTAAAGTAACAAGCACATACACAGAAAGCTATGTATGGGACAACACGCATGGTGTCGGGGTTGGTACTACCTTGATTCCTTGTCTTTCTATGCTCATTACTCAGCCAGTATACATTTTCTTCCAAAATTGTTTGGCACATGTCATTTATTTGTAATCTTGAACATTCAGTGTAAGTTTCGTTTGATTCTGTGAGAAATAATTTTCTTTTTTTTACCAGTACTCAACCTTCTCTTTAAACATAAAACTATCAATGTAACTTGGATGCTGGTGTGAAGAAATAAGATTCTTTTTAGGGGAAAATAGGAAATTTATGTGATCAATATAAAGAAAACAATTATTAGTTGATAGTGAGGCAATGACGTCACAGACTCCTGAGTGAGTTGCCAATTTGTCTTGTGATTTTCAAAGTTTTGCATGTCATAAAAAATTAATAACTTTCTTATTAGTTATCAGAATTTGCTCAAACTTTTTTTGATTGGTTTATCTGATTTCTCTGCTTTTATTGAAAGTAATTTATTTTTGGAGGGGACTTTATGATTAGTCTGGATCAATCGCAACTCTTTACAATTAGGAACCTAGAATCAAGACTTATTTCAACTTTTAACTATAACATGCGGGAAGAAGCCATTGGTGAATCGGTGATTAGAATTACTTACTGATCATGTCGAAAGAGGACAGGTCTGTGAAGTTTGATGTTAGTTACTGATATCATCATCGTGATATTCTTTGATTCTAAACTTACGAGAATACAAATTATAATTTTTTTTGCTTCTAAAATTACAATTTTGTTATGCTTATAGCGCCGTGTAGCAGTAACCCTTGTAGCTTCCTTTGTGTCGGGGGAGGACCCAACGGTTACACCTGTCTGTGTGGAAACGGTTTCCTCCTAAAGGAAGATGGTCGTACATGCGAAAAGGGTAAGGCTTCAAGGACAAGCTCTCTGTTGTGGATTGATTTGTGTGTTTCTTCGAAGATGTGTGATACATATATTTAAATATATTGTTGAAAACAAGAAACATATCCGTTGTAATACAATAAACAGTCCGAAAACACATTATTTACATTTTTGGCATTTTAATGTAGGCAACTAATTTTCAAGTATTTTTTTAATGTTTTGTCCCTTTTTGTTGCTCTTTTACACTTGCCAAACCTTTAATGTACTGTGTTGTTACTATTGTGTAATGGTATTCTCTTTAATATTTTGCATGTGTGTGATTTATAGTGTGTTTATAGTATCTTGGCCCCAGATCACACTTATGACACCCCAGCGTATTTCATCTTTTCTTCTTCATTCCAGCGGGTACGATAGACCCACCGCAGTACTTCGTTGCCTCGCGCTCCAAGCTTTGTCGATATCCCATCAACTTTCCTGACATTGCTTTCCCCATTGTCACAAACTATAATGTATCCTGCTTCTTAGAAGGGCGGAGCCATGCCGTAGCTATCGCCGTCGATTTGGAAGACGGAATCGTGTTCTTCAGTGACTTAGGAATGAAGGGAATAGGGATGGCCACCCTCAGAGATGGTGCACCGGTGAAGATTATCACGGGTGGGGTACGGGCTGTACAAGGTATATGACTATAATCTATCTCATAATGGCAAGCCTACTATCATTGTTATCATCATCAGCACTTTCATGTTAATTGTCATCATTTGATCGCCATCATCATCATGATCATCATTATCGTTATTATCATCCTTATCGTTATCACTACCATCATCATTATCATCATCATCATCACGAGCATCATTACCACCATCATAATCACCATCACCACCAACATCATCACATATCATCGAACGATAGAAAATAATGTTTATGTTCTAATTCCCATGTCATTGTAGGCTCATAAGATTATAATTTCGAATCTTAAACCACAACATACAGACGCTTTATTGAATTCTATTTTGGTGAAGAACAAAGATAGTTGGCTATGTGGTTTTATTCGACGAGCAGCAGAATTCTTAACGTTTCCCCCTAAATCAGTGTATGCTTAGTATGTTATCTATATGGACTTTTATAAATCGTGTACATGACTATTCAGTATAAAAAAATGGGCGCCATTTTTCTCAAAATTAACATGATCCAGGGCAGTCCTTAGATTGGCACGTTTGCTTTCATTACATTTCTTCCTTCAGGTTTAGCCGTAGACTGGATGACGAAACACATGTATTGGACGGACCATGCCAGGGGTACCATTGAGGTTTCCAAGTACGACGGGTCTTACCGAACAACACTCATCAAGGACAATGTCATCAAGCCTAGGAGCATTGCCATCGATCCAGAGAGAAAGTAGGTTCCTTTTCTAATTCACGGCGCTCAAAGAAGTTTTACTTAACACTTTTTGTCAGTAAATTAGATACGTGTATTTAGAGTGACAACACTCTTTCTTGTGGGGAAAGGCGTGCTTGAAATGTCAATATTCATGCTGATGTTTGCATGCCTTAAGTGTTATATAATTTGGAGACTATGGTATTAAATTAAACGGAGTCTATATAATATCAAATAAAAGATGAGTTCATGTACATCTCATTCGACGATGTTGACATTAACATTAACATTTCTCATCAAACAAAGGAAAGCGATATATTGTTTGGTAGATCTGATCATTACACTTAATACTTTTTACACCATTAATAATTGATAATTGTGAATAGCATTTGCTGGAAAAAATATTTTCCCCAAGCCAAGGGCTGGCTAAAATACAATTTAACCCAGGTGGAAAAAATTTATTTAGGTAGGTATTCACAAATAGCACGCTAACTTTATTCCAAGTGTACACCCCGACGAAAGTGAACAAAGTTAGTCTATTCATTTCGGGAGTGCCAAGCGTCAACATTTTAATCAAGTAGAAATTACCATAATTCTGTGACGAAATGAACACAATGATGTCATCATGAATGACTAGATTAATTTCATGTATTCATATTGTAAACAAATTACAGTAATTCATATAAAAGAAAAATAGTGACATCTGAAGCTCTTTAAATCAGTAGCCTAGGTAGACCGGGTTAAACCAGGGAGATGAGCTCGCCCTTTGTGAGTACAAGCCCTTTTGTTTATGTCGTTGCAACAGGTACATCTTCTGGACTGAATTTGGCCCACCTACCCAGATCGAACGTGCTTCGCTGGATGGAACTGAACGTGTCGTCATAATGATGGCACCACATGGTCTGCCATTCTTTGTCCCCACTGGGCTAGCTATCGACACTGAAGAACAAAGGTATAATCAGGAGAAAAAAATTATGAAAATATCGAGCGTTTTACTCAAAAATTTATTTCGTAAAACAAAATATGTGTCGTTTTTACAGATGTTCATTCCATAACAGATATCTATCTATCTATCATTCTTATATACATATTCACTGAGTGACAAAGAAATCTTCAATTTCATTCAAATTATCAATTTCAATAATACATGTTTACGAAATTCAAACACAAGTCATTACTTTTCTTTAAAAATTAGTTTACCTTTGTCTATTTTTATTATTCCAAGTCTGAACGCAGTAACTGATAACTTTTTAAACCGCTTTAGAAGTAACAGACCTTCAGACTTGACCTGAAATTTTCTTTTTAATCTAGTCATCTACAATTCAATAATTGGTTTAGTCATGTAATATCTCCTGAGATATAAATGGAAACTGAATGCTGATCTATATCACATCTTCTCCAACTTGTGTGTACTAGGTTGTACTACGCAGATCTTTCAACTCGTACAATCAATAAAGTCGATTATTTCGGGAACAATAAGAGACAGCTACTGAGGAAAAATGGCGCCATCTTCTTTGATGTTGCTCTCTACAAGGTAGAAAATGCATTTGCCACATATTTCTGTTTTCCCTAGTTATCACACTCAAATAATGTAGACCTACATGTGTAGTTCGATATAGTTCGTCCAAAGACCGTAGTTTATGATAAGAGCATACTTTGAAATGCAATCGTCGTTGTCGTTGTCAGATATGAAATAACGTCTTGGGAAACAACTGATTTAGGCTTGTTATACGCTTTCGTTTATCAGTACATGCAGTTGTAGACTTTATCATGGATTTCAACGTCTATTAAGCGCACGCCATAACCGTGTATATAATGAAAGGACAGTCCAACATTTAACATTAGTTCATTTCTATGAAACAAGAACATTAGGACTAAAAGAATGGTTTGAAGTATTAAAGTCGGACCGATTATGAAAAAGTTATGAGTGTTTGAAATGTGAGAGCTCAATCTATGCGACTCTCAAATTGACAATTTGGTATTTGAAATGTGACACATGCAGGGACAACTCTCCCGTTTCCCGTTTACTAACTACTTTCTGTTTTGGGGGCATTACGAAAAATATATTATAGATAGCATATTAGTATAGGCCCTCTAAAACGAAAGACTCTTTTGAGTGATGCGTTTAAACAAGAAACCCGAGGGGAGGGTGGATCACCTATGAATCGCATATTTCATGAAGGTATTACCGGTTTTCTTCTAGGACTACATTCTATGGACGGAGCTTGGAGGAAACAATGGTATCTACGCAAGCAACCGCCACACTGGAGAGATAGAACTAGTGTATCATAACCAAGGAGAGCAGGTGTATGGCATTACAACTTACGCGGACACCCGTCAGAAGATCATGCATCGTAAGGCAGCTCAACAAGTCTTATACCTAAAGGCCCGGTCACACAGAGGGGACGCATGGGGAACGCACGGCCAGCGCATTGGAAATTTGCAATTTTGGCCAGTGCGTTGTCGTGCGCCCAACTTTTGTCGAAGCTACAGCGAGTTGAAACCAAATGCATAGCGTATTGCTAGCGCGCTGAGCGCATACAGGGCGCATACAGTGCGCATACAGACCGTACACAGAGCGCACATGATAACAACTTCCACGAATGCACAGCGTGTTGCTAGCGCGCTGGACGAATGGTCCACGCACGCACCGCGTTCTCAACAGAGGTGGTCACACATATACAACGCACGGCCCGCGCATTGGAAATCGGAAAAGGCCGTGTGCCTAACTTTTGTCATGATTTTGGAAAAGCTAGCGAGCTGACACAAAATGCACAGCGTGTTGCTAGCGCGCTGTGCGTATACAGGGCGTGTACTCCGCGTATGTCCGGCGCTGGTCTAGCGCGCTCCGCTCATGTCTGGCGTGCCTTTGGCGTGTACATTCATGCGTCGAGCTCAGCGCACACTTTTGAGCATGCTCAAAAAATCCCGACGCACACAGCGAATGACGACGAATGCACATCGTGGGTCCAGCGCGCTCGACGAACGAGTAACGAATGATGACGCACGCCTAGCGAACGACAACCCACTGGCCAAAATTGCAAATTTCCAATGCGCTGGCCGTGCGTCCCCCATGCGTCCCCTCTGTGTGACCGGGCCTTTACCGACCAAATATAAGAATTGTATAATATACTACATAGCATATAATACATTCTAGGCCTACGTTCAATTTCAGAAAATGATAAAACACCTGACATTTCGTGTAATATATGGCGTCTCATTTAGTCCTCATTATTTTATCTTCTTCTAAGATCCATGTCGTTACCAGAACGGAGGATGTGATCAGCTGTGTCTCAGCTCATCTTCTAGTCGACGAGGATTCGTGTGTGTTTGCACTCTCGGGTTCTACTTGGCTGACGATGGAAAATCTTGTGTGTCAGGTAATATTGTCCAACATTTCTTTGCATATATGTTAGCATTATGCAGAATTGCTTTTAGGTTGGTCATAAAATATAAACATCATATACCCAATAATAATTTGCTCTTCCTTTGCATCGTCCACTTTGCACCAAATAGAAATGGGTGTGATTCCAAGGCGATCGAATAAGAACTGTATACATTTAGTGATACAATTCTTTCCAATATGTTTTCTAGTCTAAGAATAGGCACATATATTGTACTCCCATCCCCGAAATATGTATCTGATTGCACCAGCTATATGATCTACACAGTACACAGCTGTGATGTTTTACAGCCTACGTTTAAACATCTCCATAAAACATGTTACATTATATATATTTACTACTGTCATAATGATTTGTATATGTCGTTGTATTTATAGACCTTGTCCGAGACAACTTCTTTCTGGTCACGGACACCTATCGACGAGCCATCTTTCAGGTCGATATGCAGTCCACCACATTCGAACCCAAAGCCTTGTTCCTTCCAAGCATTCAGAACCCTATAGCGGTGAGCTTTGATCCCATCGACAGGAAGGTCTACTGGACTGACGTGACTTCCAAGACACTCAGCCGTGCCTCGTTGGACGGCAACGACTACCAGGTCATTGCTAGGGATGGTATTGAAGGTAAGTTCGTTTTTTTTCCTATATCACAATCTCCCAGTGGATTAGCCCTAGATAGGCCATGCATCTGTATTAACCCCTTCATATTTACATGTAATTTCATAGATAGTATGTACCGCTATTCATTCCAGGTTCAAGTTTTTTTCCGTAAAATGTTGACGTCTTTTGTCATGATTATTTTTAGGTACATATTTTACCCGTTTTTCCATTAGATTGAAAACTTAAATGGAACTAAAAAGATGAATTTAATTTAAATTGAATATAGCATATTTACATGTATATCAAGTTAACAGATCCGTGGTGTGAAACCCACTTGATATTTATGTATAATGACAAAAGAGTAATAAGAATCAACGGGGTAACGTCATTTTTTGTCCGGTTGTTGTCGGTCTCCTTCTTATGACTGCGGTGTAACATAAAAAAAGTGATAAAATCATATAGTTGAAAACACAAAATGCTCTCTTTATCCATTTATTTCTCTCAGTTCCCGATGGCATTGCCGTAGACTCCATTTCCAGGCTTGTGTACTGGACAGACTATGGCAACCATGGCATCTCTGTATCTCACCTGGACGGATCAAACAGGAAGATGCTGATTCGAGGCTTAGACAAGCCTAGAGCCCTTGTGTTGCATCCCGTGGAAGGGTAATAAACCTTATCCTGGGTGTTTAGAGACTGAACAATAATATTTCATAATACTCTATTGCTAATTATGAGCTGAAGATATTTGGTATTACTTACATAATTTATTGAATATTTATGCTGCACAAAACGTACGACCAACCGGTACAGGGCTCTGAAAATCAGACTATTACTTATATGATTGCAATCACTTAAGTCGATTCGACAAGTAATGGTCGTTATTTTCCACCAAAAAGCCATTTTCAAGCCCTTTCGTTTTGAGAAAAGTTCTAAATTAGTGTTGTCTTTCAAATGCCGTTGGAATTTAATCTTCTCATTTTGGGGCCTGCAAATGAGACACAGTGGAGATTGGTGGTATACCGCCTTCAACCTATTAGAGTTCGACCACATGATATACGCTAGAAAAGCATGTGCTATAACTTCCTCTTGGAACTTGGAAGTGTTATCCATATGTATCTTTCATGTCGATTTTCGATAGTCAATAGATAATTGTTTCATCTAATAACCAGGACAATGTTTTGGACAGACTGGGGTGACAATGCTGTCATTGAACGAGCTTTCATGGACGGAACAGAGCGATCAATAATTGTGTCTGGATCACTGGTATGGCCAAACGGACTCACGATCGACTATGATGGTAAGGACACCTTCATATTAACAATGACGAATGCTATCCTTTTTTTAAATTCAAAGAACGCTCTCAAAACTAAAATGTTAAATATAGCCATTTTAAAGGACCAAGGATTAACCCTTTCTCTCTCTTCCAAATGATAGATTAACACTTTGAACATTTTTTTTGTTTTGAAAGTTATTTTTTTGTTCATTCAATGCACAAGAAATAATAGCAGAATTATAATGTATATATAATTTGTCATAATATTAGAATATATTGGAGTTATATTACCCTAATATAAATGAAAAATATAATAAAAAATCGCAACTTTCCATTTTTACATCTCAAACTATTACAAATGCATAACAAAGTATATATATATACGTTTAGCTAACAATTGTCACAGAAACATAACATAATTATATACAGTTGTAAGTAATTACTAATTTATAGCAATATAATATATTGTGCTCTGAATGAATACTATGTCCAAGAAAGAGCCTCGTGCACACGCACACACGAACACACACACACGCACATGCTCACACACTCAGACACACTTACAATCTTACCTATCCCCCCATACCCAAAGCTTCCCAAACTTCACAAATCCCCCTCCCTTCCCGAACACAACCACATCCACACAACCGTTGGAAATCCATGCTGGGTCCCAAACAATACAGTTTGAATTTAGCAAATTAAAATTGTTAATTTTACATTTTTAGAAGGTGGTCACTCCGCGGTCCTTTTAAATGGTGATTTAAAATTTTAGTTGATAGAGTGAATCGCTACTTCGTCACGACTCGCGAACTTTGCAATGGAATCCATGAATAAAAAAAAACCTGTAATTCCCATTTCATGTCTATAAAACAAAAGTATCTTAGCTCTCAATTAATAAAATAAACTGTAATGCATCATCCTCTTTTAATAAATTTATTTCAATTGTGTAAATTACGTTAATTAATGTTACTCGCCATTATGTAAATTGTAATGCAATGGTATAACACTGTTGTCTTTCATATTAGCTCTGCACTTGATACTCTTCTGAAACTAAATTTCGAACAATCGTATCTAGAACGTAATAACAATAAACACACAACCTCTGAAGTGCTCTTTTTCAAAGAATCTGAAAAAAACTACGTATCAGCAATGCCCTTTAACTTTTTGAGACATCCATAATACATTTGTTAAAGTGGTGACGGAAGAATAATGTATTGACATGATTGATGAGAGAAAAGATGAGTTACGAACTTCCCCTCGTTCCTGTAACATCACTTTGTAGCTACATTCCACGAGACGATAGCCCACGAGACTGACATAGTAGTGGTATTGTGGACCTTCTGACAGCTTTCATAAAGATTCACTACCACGAACATGTCGGTCTCGTAGGTTGTCGATCTACTATATGTCCCAACATGACTTTCTTTTGAATGAACTGCCTCTTTGTCAGGTAATCGGCTATACTGGTGCGACGCTGGTCTTGAGCGACTGGAGACGGCTGATTTTAACGGTCGTGGCCGCCGTCTTCTCTTTACGTTCGGACGTAACGTCCATGCCTATGATGTGGCTGTACGTGGTCAGTTTCTTTACTGGACAGACTGGACAATGCAGAGTGTCCTCAAGATGGACAAAGACACTGGTAGCGGTATCGCAACAGTAGGACCCAATGATTACCTCAGACCAAATGGAATATACATGGTGTCCGACGATACTCTGCCATCAGGTATAACTACTCTCATTTCTTGTCCTTTCATTATTTACTTAAAGTAGATCTTTCCAAATCCTGCTTCACCTAATAGACAAGACAATACGGGAAGTGATGAACATGATGGAGCTCCTTATAACGTGCTCAGATAGAGGAACAGCAAGATCATAATTGAATACAAATGTTTAAGCAAATGGCAAGTATCGAATCAAGTGCCAAACAAGACATGCTAAAAAGTACTCTATTAAGGTTTATGTTTAAGAAAATGAAAAGAAATTTCCGTTATCTCTTCGTTTCTAGCACTTAAGTTTTAAACCCTTCTTAAGACTTAAAACATATTTTGAGCCTTGACATTTATTTAACTAAATATACGATAATTTTTTTAAACGAAATTGACTTCTTCAAAAAGATCTTTGAAAACTTAAAAATTCGCACCAATCAGATTGTTTGTAGGTGTTATCATGCATGCGCGCGCAGCTCAAAGTTAATCGTATTGGACTTATTAAAAATGAAATACATTAGACTTGAATTTAAAGTATTTTTAGGGGTTTTATAATCTTAAGTTTTAAAGGACTTAAAATAAGTATTATAAATCAAGAAGGTATTAGAACTGCACTCCGAGCTCACTGTTATTCGTTTTAGTGAGAGTGACAAATAAAAGTTTCAATTTATTTTTTAAAGATGACGATAAATTGCACTGGTTGTCCGAAAAACAGTGGCGGAGCGTTTCAAACCTTTCCACAGCCACCATGCCGATCATAAGTGAGATTGAGAATAAAACTTCACAAAATGCTGTAGTTAAAGTGTACTGTGTATAGAGGATATAAAGCGCAATGCTTTTTCTTCATCTCCATTCCAGGTGAAAACCAGTGCTCAACTGACAACGGAGGGTGCACAGGACTTTGCCTTCCAGTAGGCTTTGATCGAAACTGCACATGCGCAGATGGATTCCAATTTGATGAGGATGGAACAACTTGTGTCTCAGGTAATTATTAGTAGGGACTTTTCGATTTGCACGTTTATAAGTGGACTGCGACGTATGCGGTCATTTTTAAGCAGGGTTGACGAGGCACGCTCACTGTTGTTCGTTACATTTTCGATTTTACACAACTACGACGCTCGCTTAGTGAGCGCAAAACTCGATCGAAGAGCTAAAGATATAACATCAAATTCGATGCATGGCACTGTTCTCAAAAATAATGCTGCAACAGATTGGCGATGCACAAATAAAATGTGTCCATTTCATGAATTATTCTGCAACAATTTTGATTTAAGGGAAATTACAGACACGAAAATGTGTTAATTTAAGAGAATTCACGCTTCCACACAACTCTCCGGTTCTAGAATTAGGTCATTTGGGTCCATTTTGTGACTTCAATGTTATGTTTCGTGCCTACAAAAGATTGCCTCCGAAAATGTATCGTCACAGTTTGCCAACGACGGCAAAACAAGGGCGAACGCTTTCGAGAATTCTGCTACGAACGATGAGCTCGTCGATGCGCATGCGCACTGCTTCAAAAATGACCGCATACGTCGCAGTCCACTAGTGAACGTGCAAATCGTAAAGTCCCTAGTGGTTCAAGAGGGCGCTTGAGGGGATGAATCCCCTTTTGTCTTGATTATAATTGAATTTAGGGAGGCACATGTGGAAAATTAATGCCAGAAACCACAAGGCTCTTTACCCCTTCCAACAACAAAATGCCCTTGCCAAAAAAGCAAAGATCCTGCTTCAAGTTGGATTTTGCCAAATATATCTATCGGAGTGAATCCGCGTAGAATATACTCTTCGTTCGTTTTTTAATGCTCTTGAAATTGGCTACTTCCGTAGTGCTCTTTTCTTTGTATTCTTTCTTGAATATTCAATATAGAATTTACATTATGTAATTGCCACTACCCATCTATGTCGAGCAAATGGTAAGTTAAGCTACGGTCACAAAGATTCGTACGAACGTTGCATTCGTACGAATCACCCTGCTCGTACTAATTTTAGAGTTCGTAGAGATTCGTAGATGGGGTATAAATTCTTACGTCCTTTTACGGAGTTCGTACGAACGCAGTTTAATTCGCAAGAACAACTTAAGACCTCCTTGAGAAACGAAGGATTTTCGGTTATACAATGGCCCTAGAGTTCGTACGTTTTTCGTAAGAATGCCTTGAGTTCTTCTTACCTCAGACTTACGGCCATCTTAAGAGTTTTGTTCTTGCACGATGGTCGTACGTGAAACTCGCGGCATTTTGAAGTCACTCGTAAGAAGATTTTCGATATTTGTGTATATGTTGTTGGGTTGCATAACCTTTCTTCGTAAGGTGGCTTTTCGAACGTCGTAAGAACATCGTAAGCACCACGAAAGATCTTCGTATATTTCGTAGGGTCAAGACACAGTTCTAGAAGCCTCAAATTCTTACGAGTACCTTACGAGTACCTTACGAACACCAGAAGTCGTTCGTACGAAGGCCATATACAAATCTCCGTTCGTAAGGCGTTCTTACGAACGCTGTAATAGCCCTCTATGAACCACGTAAGGTGTCTTTACGATCATCGTAAGAATTTTGTGTGGTTCTTACGATGTTATTACGACTTTCGTATGGCCGCCTTACGAAGAGAGGGTTCCGTATGAGGTTGGACAAATCTTGAAGGAGACCATCGACCAATCTGCGAACTTAGGAACGGTCTAGGAACGCTGGTTTCGTGGTACGGCCTTCTTAAGAAGATCTTACGAAATGCTCTGAAAATAGTTCGTTCGGCGTTCGTAGCAGCTCGTAATGGTATTTGTGACCGAGGCTTTAGTAGGAAAGGATTTCCTAAATATTCAGAGCACCATTATCGCTAGACTAGCCAAAGTCATGGTAATGTTCAGGCACCTTGAGCACAATCCCTTGTGGATATAAGCAAACTGAGACGTGAGCAGATTCAGGAGAATGTGTGAAGCTAATATCTTTTATTGTTGTTTTATTGTTGCTCTTTATCGTGCGCTATTCAACATGTGGGAGATCGAATGAATATTATTTTGCTTTTAGCTGAATGCTCCATACATACCGTTTATTCACATGCTTCTTGATTTAGTAGTCTACTAAAGGTTGCAGAATGTCTTCTGGATCCCAACCTTGCAACCCGACCTCCTGATAGATTTGCACATGTAAGGCATCAGGTGAGAAAGAAAAAAGAGAATGTTTAAATGGCTAAAGTCGGTAAACATTCATTCCGTATTCTGTCATCCCTCCGTTAATTCCCACAGATCAAGTTACTGAATGTCCACTGGTCTTTCACAATGGTTTTGTTGACGAATCATGCGATCCGCGGCCAGGACACATTTGTGATGTCCAGTGTCATCCAGGTTTTTCCCCTTCTTCTGATGCCATCATCTGCCTATCATCTGGGACATGGGACCTTGACGTCAGCAGAATTTGCATGGGTAAGTTATCCATGTCTGATCCATATCGGCATATGAGAGCACTTGTGTATTACACTAATATTTGAATAATACTTTGAATTTTCTATTGCTATCTACCATCTCATTTTGTAGATAATTTTTGTTATATTTTCATATCATATACGACAGAGGCGATCCCAATTACTTTCAATAAATCAGCTCAAGGACAATTTCAATGACTTATTGTCTGTCCCATAGAATTCATGTTCGGATTATGTAATACGTAATTGTCATGTTCATACATTCAACAGGTTCGAAAGTAGATGTTATCGTCATGATTGTGTTAATCAAAAACAAGCTCCATTGTTTACAAAAACTTTTAAGTCAACGGAGAGATGTTTATTTTAATAGGAACTTTTAGATTTGGGTGGACTGATACGTGTGACGTCCATTCAAGGCAGTGCATTAAAAGGACGTCGATCGTAGCAATCCACGTTGTCGTTGTGCAAATCTAAAAGTCCCTAATATCAGGGTAACTATACACCCCCGAACTCTCATCAGTGGGAAACTTCTTCTCCCTATGGGACATTTATTCACCTGACAACAACTTCTCTCAGAAAACAATCACTAGGACGCCCCCACCCCTAGTCAATAATATTTTGGATGTCTTCGTCCAGAGTAAGTCATTAACATTATCAATAATGATAATAATATCTTTCATAATTATAATTACTACCACCACAACCACCACCGCTACTATTACTACTGCCGCTACTACTACCACTACTACTACTACTGCTACTTTTCTACTACTACTTCTATACCTACTAATCATTATGATAAATATAATAATACTCTTTTTTAACATTTTTATTCCACCATTTACCCAGAAAGTCTTATGGCGAACAACTGAAGGAGAAAATATGAGAAATAAGAGTCCCAATGAATGACATATTCCCGTGTCGACGATTGATAAAATCGGTGAATTTTATATTCCGATTTGAAACAATATTATCGTAGAGTTGTTAACGGATAACCAATTTATGTAGATTATTTATAACGAATTGTCCTAGGGATAGTTTCCATGTATGATAGCCGTCTGAAAGTTTTTGTTCGAGGGTGGTTTCCATTTATTATAGCCATCTGAATGTATTGTAATTTGTAGGTTTATTTGCACTTTTTTGTTTTGTTTAATATGTAATTGTTTGTCAGTCTACTTTGTTTTTTTATAGCGCTTAGAGACTTCGGTGGTAAGCGCTTTATACGTAACGTTGTTATTATTGTTATCATAGGGGTAGTTTCCATGTATGATAGCCGTAGAGAGCACACTTTTTTTTCTTGTCCTCGAAAATTTGAAAAATCGCACGCCCCCCCCCCCTTGAGCGTCTGGGGGGGGGGGAGGGGGTCATCTAAAAAAAAAGGGTAAAATTAACGTGTTTTTACACGTTTTTTTCCCGGGGGAAGGGGGGGGGGGGCGGGCGGGCCCCCGGGGCCCCTGGATCCGCCACTGGTTTTCATGTATGATAGCGGTCTGAAGGCAATTGTCCTACGAGTAGTTTCAATATATGATAACCGCATGAAGGTAACTGTCTAGCTAGGAGTGGTTTCCAAGTATGGTAGCCGTCTGAAGGTAATTGTCCTAGGCAGGCGCGTACGCAGGGGGAGGGGGGGGGGGGGGTTTGGGGGGTTAACCCCCCTTTGGTAATTTTATGTATGTAAACCCCCCTAAAAAAAACCTAAAACCCCCTCCCCCCCTTTAAAAAAAAATTATTCCAAGGACCGACCTAAAAAAGGTGACCTTACCCCCCCCCCCCAACTGAGCAAAATGTCAAATTTCATAGGGGTAGTTTCCATGTATGATAGCCGTAGAGAGCACACTTTTTTTTCTTGTCCTCGAAAATTTGAAAAATCGCACGCCCCCCCCCCCCTTGAGCGTCGTCTGGGGGGGGGGGAGGGGGGTCATCTAAAAAAAAAAGGTAAAATTAACGTGTTTTTACACGTTTTTTTCCCGGGGGAAGGGGGGGGGGGGGCGGGCGGGCCCCCGGGGCCCCCTGGATCCGCCACTGGTTTTCATGTATGATAGCGGTCTGAAGGCAATTGTCCTACGAGTAGTTTCAATATATGATAACCGCATGAAGGTAACTGTCTAGCTAGGAGTGGTTTCCAAGTATGGTAGCCGTCTGAAGGTAATTGTTCTAGGCAGGCGCGTACGCAGGGGGGGGGGGGGTTGGGGGGTTAACCCCCCTTTGGTAATTTTATGTATGTAAACCCCCTAAAAAAAACCTAAAACCCCCCTCCCCCCCCTTTAAAAAAAAAATTATTCCAAGGACCGACCTAAAAAAGGTGACCTTACCCCCCCCCCCCCCAACTGAGCAAAATGTCAAATTTCCAAATTTCGATAAAAAAAGTGTCCTCTTACCCCCCCCCCCCCCCGCTTATTCAGCGGCTGGCTGAGTCGTTGCGAAATTTTCGGACCGATTTATAAATGTTAACCCCCCCCCCCCCCCTTGAAAAAATCCTGCGTACGCGTCTGATCCTAGGGGTAGTTCCCATTTATGATCGCCGTCTGAAGGGATTGTCCTCGCGGTCTGAATATAATGTCCTCCGCGTAATTTACCGTGTGATTAGTTGTTTGAGAATCATCGTTCTAAGGGCTCAATTTTCAGGAAGAGGACTATCTGGAATAACAACCCATTATGTAATTGTCCCTAATATAATGCCCATATATAGTTCGGACACTACCCTATCCATTTTTCATTTTACAATTTCATTTTGATTTCATCATTTTCTCCTCAGCTGTTCAGTGTCGTCGACTCGAAACACCACCGCACGCTCTCCCTGGACCGTGCTCCCCTCCTTACAACACCGGCAAGATGTGCACATATTCTTGCATGCAGGATACACGAAGACTAGAGGAGATGACAGGAGAATGTGTGACGAGCATGGTGAATGGATTGGGAGTCCAATACGCTGTGAACAGGGTTAGTTTTGTAATCCCTAATCATAGATAGCGACCTCAATTTCAAAGATATACGTGACGATTTGCATGCAGTGACAATGTGAAATTCTGGCAAACCAAAACAAAACAAAGAGAATTGCATTAATGACTTGTCTGGTTTCTCTCCCATCGCTTCAGGGTTATGAGACATCTTTTAATGCCATATCTTGAATGATACATTGACATTAAAAATAGCGCAATGCCTTGAATTTATACAGATTTGGCTGAAGGAAAAAACGTCAATGGTTAAAAATATTTGCATGATTGTGATAATCTAATATTGCTTATCAACTCACGTACTTCTGATAATCTATCTTCTGCAGATCCTGGGCCTAGAACCGCTTCATCTTGTAATCCCAACCTGGCTTTCCTTGAAGAACCTCAGAATCTAGAAGTAGCTCGCAGAGATCTTTTAGAGCTGAGGTGCCGGGTCAGCGACCAAGATGCAACCTTGACATGGGTCAAAGATGGACAAAGGTTGGATTCAGGTAGGGACACCACTCAAAACTGATTTTAAAAAAAATCAGGTTTGGTAACATGGTACATAACGGTAATCCGGATACTTCATTTGCTTTCAAAATAGTGATTAAAAAGTCAATCGTCGTCTGTCTAAATGAAGTCTGTGAAAGCCCTGCATTGTACATGATAGTAATAAAGTAATAAAGTAATAAATCAAACAGAATAATAGTAAAAGTATGCATTGAATCTGTCAATATTACCTTTTTTCATTGTGTGGTTTCGATGAAATAAACTAGATAGAAATAAATTCAACGAAAATATTATTGCAAATACTTTTTTTGTAAGTTCGTGTATTTGAGAATGAAGAGGAAAAACACCCCCACAAAAGAGAGAGAGAGGAGGAGACCAATGAAATCCCGAGAATAGTCCCAGATAATTCTACACCTTGCAATTCTTATGCACACATACACACTTTCCTCACACACCCACGAGATATGTAAAGGTGTCGTGGTTAAGTGCAGCATTTTATTTAACATCTCTAGGGTTCCGGGTGAGAAACTGATTGAAGATCAATTTTTGTATCCATTATGAAATCAACGTAAATTTCGTAGAAACAAGATATTACAAACCGCTATGTATTATCATGAATAACAGACATTTTAAAGACAAGTAAGTGTCGTTTTAGGTATTAAGAGTCGGTATGGCGTCGGTTTGGCGGCGTGATTAGGTGCTATATGTGTTTATCCTTGCTTTTCATAGTACTTAGAAACTGTAAAAAATCTATCAAATTCGCCCTAAGGTGCTGTAAACGGTATCTACGTCGACCAGCCCAACCAGCTTTTCATTCCAAGCTTCGATGAACCACACGCAGGACACTACGCATGCGCTGTATTCTCCGGAGAAAGGGAATGCATGCGATCTGAGGCCAATATAAGTAAGTTCCTTCTTCTCAAATATCATTCTTGATAGAATAGATTGTCTTAGAATGATAACGCATTAAGTTGGTTTGTAGATACTAAGAGTTTATTGTTCATACAAAAAGAAGTGAATGGTATAAAGTTTCTCATGTCTACCTCCTGCACACAACGCATTTGAAAGAGAAAAGGGAGAGTCACCCCAGAACAACTTCAAATTAGGAAGAAAACCAAATAATTACAGTTACTTTTACATCATACATCAAATCATAAAATTGCACAAATCACAACGATAACGTCCTTCGCAATAGAAACTCCACCCATCCACACGGAACAATGTAGGGAAAAATGATGATTTTGCTGAAATACATGGATCATCGTTGATTTTGGACCCTTTCCGAACCCCTCCCCCAACCCCGACGCCAATGTCTAGATACAGGCGCGGATCCAGGATTTCTTAGGGGAGGGGGCCCAACTTTTTTTTTTTTTTGCTCCCGAAAATTTGAAAATCGCGCCGGCCGAAAAGTCGCTCAGTGGGGGGGGGGGTGGTACAGAGCACAATTTTTTTTTTTTTTTTTTTTTTTGCTCCCGAAAATTTGAAAAACGCGCCGGCCAAAAATTCGCTCAGTGGGGGGGGGGGGGGGGGGGGGGGGGGGGGGGGGGGGGGGGGGGGGGGCGTGGGGGGGGGGGGTAGTGAGCACATTTTTTTTTTTCTTGATCCTCAAAAAAATTTCAATTTGCACCCCCCCCCCCCCTTGAGCGCCAGGGGGGGGGGGCCCAACCTCCAAAAATCGTAAAAATCACGTGATTTTACATGATTTTTTTCTCAAGGGGGGGGGGGGCCGGGCCCCCGGGCCTCCCCCCTGGATCCGCCACTGTCTAGATACGCCACTGTTCATTAATTTCATCCCATTCCTTGCTTTCATTTACATTGCTGACAGCTTTCAACCCCCGGAGCTACTTCGAAATCGTTCCCTTGAATGCGTATGTCAATATCGGTGAGGGTCATCGGTTCCAGTGCTCCCCCAAACAAAACACATGGAGTGTCGTCTGGGAGAAGAATGGGCTAACGCTTGTAGAAGGAAACCTTCTCATTGTGAGTTACTTTCTAAATTAAGGGCAGTTGCACACTGGGGTCTCAAGAATTTAATAGCTTTTGTATAATAAAAATAACCCATTTTTGTCGCACTTTCGTAATGGAATTCCTGTTATACACTTGCTCTCATATGGACAAATTAGAGAAATAGTTAGATAATGTGTTTATTTGAAGGTTGATATCACTTAGCTAACGAAAGAAGATTGCCAATTGTCATATGTAATTTGTTCTACTATCCAAAGAAATGTTTTTTTTTTAATTATATCGTCAATGAGCCAGATTAATTGATGAAAAGTGTTCTTCTAATTGTTTCATCTCTTTTTTAAAACTTTTTCATAAGCTGGTGAGACCCTTTCAAAGGTCTAATGCGATATATAAGAGCTGTTCTATTATTTTTCTTATTATTTGTTTCTTGTATAAAAGGCATATTATCAAAACTGAAAGCTTCTGCGAATACCATGATTCTGCACAAACAGTGACTTTCTATTAATCAGTCAGGAAGTTGGAAGTATTTGAAGGATATTTGGTGTATTGTCCCCCGTTAACCAGAAAGCTTTTGAAAGAAATGAGAGGAAAAAAAGTTGAAGTCCATCACAATTTTCCGTTGTCAAGAGAAAATCTAATTATGTATATTAAGTTAACGATAAAATGTTTTCATGTTTACAAATTAAACAATATATTTCAGTTTATTACTGATTCTGTGAAGGTAAACACATTCTTCTTTTTCCTTTTAACTAATCTGAACTAATGTTATAAATGGACTTGGACCTCCTTCCTCTCATGAATTCAGTTAGGATATACATAAAATGCATTTCCATAGATTCAAGTGGTTCTATTTACATGATTCTTTTATCTGGCAGCGCGGAGGACACCTCTATCTAACAAATATAAGGGAGGAAAATGAAGGGAAGTACACCTGCGTTGCCCGTGACGTGTTCGGACGAACCAAGGGTCGAGTACATGCCTGGCTTTATTTGACTGATCCACCTCAGATTGACATTACTACAGGTAAGGCTTAGGATCAACGCCTTTGATTCTTGCATATCGACATTCGCCATCGTCGTAGTAGTTATCTACTACATATACTACGACTACCACCACCACTACTACCACTACTATACTACTATAGCAATACTACTCAGTGGCGAAATAGGGGAAAAGAGAGAGCGACGGAAGAAAGAGGAGACACGGAGAGGGGGGGGGGGGGTGCTACAAAAATAAAGAAGGGGAAAAAAAAGAAGAGTATAAAGGAGAAGAAAAAATACGCGCTATCCTTAGTTTTCAGATCGCAAACGTATAAATCAGTGGTGGATCCAAATCGGGCCGAATCGATGGCCTAAAAAAAAATTTAAAAAAAAGAGAGAGAGAGAGAAAGACAAAATGAAATTAAAAAGTATAGAAACAAAAATCGGTATCCTGAGTAACGGGTCGGCAATATATTGGGTGTGGAAACTCCACCGAAAGCTATGCGCAATGCGTGCATAAACGTATGTATCAGTGGCGAAACGGGAGGGGGAAGGGCGAATCAGCTGCAGCCCTCCCCTTTTTGTGGCGGTCTGACAATAGAGAACAGAGAAAGAGAGAGGGAGAGGGGGAGAGCGAGAGCGAGAGAGAGAGAGAGAGAGATAGAGAGAGCGAGATCGCGATGGGAAAAAGGGGAAAAGAAAGAAAAGAAAGAGGGAAGAATGTAAAAGAGAAGTAGAAGGAAAAAAAAAAGCTAAATTGCTAGAACTCATGAGCGTCCGGTCGCCAGCGCATACGTTGGCTTCGGCCTCTATTTTGGAAAATCCTGGATCCACCACTGCTACTACTACATTTACTACTTATACTATTAATAACTACTACTACTACTAATACTACTACTACTACTACTACTACTACTATTTCTACGACTTTTTTCTCACTTAAATGCATTATATAAACTTGATCCTTATAAGTGTTCCTCTCATATACTCCACATATTATATATGTATTAAATCGTATTACATCATGTTGGAAGAAAGACAAATACACTTGAACTTGAACTTACTTCTACTTCTACTTCTACTACTGCTACTACTATTTCTACTACTATTACTACTAATATTACTACTAGATATACTCCTCCTGCTTCTTCTTCTACTTTTAAAATACAACTTCTACTAATGCTATACTACTACTATTAGTACTACTACTACTACTGCTTTCTGCTGCAACTACTACTACATGTCCTGCTACCTTCACTACTACTTCTACTATTTCTACTACTACAACTACCAGCCTGTACTATTATCAAATTATAAACATGGTTAAGGAAAGCTAATATCATGTATATATATAATATATGTATTTTTTCATCCAATGGGAATAACTCGATTCTTATTTATTGAAAGTCATATATTAAAATTTTGAAAAGAGCTTTATTGATCACTACTCTTACTAAAATCACCACAAGTACTTTCTATTAATTGTTTTTATTTCTAGTTTGCGGCACGATTACATATTGGAAAGAGAGCGAAGCTCAAACTACACCCTCCCCAGTGGTAGTTACTCACACCGAGGATCCTGATATCGCCGAACCTTCAATCGACTGGAGCAGCAGCGTTAACGCTGCAAACGGACGTGTGGTCGGAGGAACTACAGCAAATCATGGTTCGGCGCCCTTCATGGTCCGAATCCGGGAAAAAAGGACTGATAAAGTAGTGGATCCATGGACCTTCATCTGCGGTGCGACACTCCTGGACCAGAGGTGGATTTTGACTGCTGCGCATTGCATGTTTGACAAGCACGAAAACTTGATTCGAAAGGAAAACATGGATTTATTTTTTGGTGATTATGATTCAAAGTTTACAGAAGAGACAGAAAAGAGCCGACAGCCAGCGGAAATGATTGTGCATGAGGATTTTGACAAGACGAACTATGATAATGACATTGCCCTGATACGTATCGATCCACCACTGTGGGAGTTCACTCCTTACATTCGTCCTATTTGCCTGGCTCCTGGGGTTCT